CTTGCCTGGCTTCATCCTGCCTGGGGCCAGGCCTGTCCACTCCTGAGGACACTCATCCCCATGCCCCAAAAGGGCAGAGGCAGGTGGCCCTGAGTGCCCAGGGGAGGGACCATCCCAGATGCCACTTGGAGGCTGAGTCCAGACCCACTGAAAACAAGCCTGTCCCGCTGAGCAGTGCCACCTTCTCTCACACACACACACACACTCACACTCGCACTCACACACATGCTTATATACGCACATACATGCATACACATTTGTGTGTACACACGTGTGCACATACCCACATGTACATACACACGTGTGTGTGCCCACAGTTACATGCATGTACATGCACACACACATGCACATGTACATACACACACAGGCCTTACACACTGGGCCTCACACCGGACAGCCTCCATGAGCCCAGACCAGAGCGGGTCTGGGGACCCTCACCCTGCACACCAGCCTGGTCCCCACCACCCCCCAATACCCATCAGCTGTTCAGCAGCTCATCCACACACTGACCACACTAAGCAGCCCTCCTCTGCCCCAGGGCACCTGCACCCCCTCCCAATATCCACGAAACCCCCACACCCAGCTTGTCCTGACGCTCCCACACACTCATATTCTAGGACACTCCCCGACACTGACCAGCCCTTCCCTGGACTCTGCTGACCCTCCCACCCTCTGGACCTGGCCCCCAGGGGAAGAGGATGTGTGTCGGTCAGGGCGCCTTCCCCCATGAGGGCTCCAGCACAGGACAGAACAGAGAGGGAGGGGTCCCCCTGGCCAGGCCCAAGCTGGAGAGCTGGGGGTGCTGAGGCTGGCACCTGAGGTTGCAGAGGGCTGTGGCTGTCCCCCAGGGAATGACCCCAGTGGGCAGGCATGGCACTGATCACCCCCTTCCTGTCCAGAGCTGCTCCTGGACGACAGCTGTGCCGAGGACCAGGATGGGGAGCTGGACGGGCTGTGGACCACCATCTCAATCTTCATCACCCTCTTCCTGCTCAGCGTGTGCTACAGCGCCACTGTGACCCTCTTCAAGGTGGGCATCCCCACACGTACCCTCACTGCGGCCTGCTGTCTCTATGGTGTCCCCACGCTGTCCCCAGGCTGGACACATGCTGTCCCCAAGCTGTCCCCATGCTGTCCTCATGCTGATCCCTCACTGTCCCCACACTTTCTGTACTGTCCTCACACTGTCCCCACAGTACCCACTCTGACCCCACACTGTCCCCACCCTGTCCTGATGCTCTTCCCATGTGGACCCCACACAATCCCCACGCTGCCCCCACACTGACCCAAAATGATCCCCATGCTGTGCCCATGCTGTCTGATGCTGTCCTGACCCTGTTCCCACACTGTCCCCATGCTGTCCCCACACTGTCCCCATGCTGTCCCCATGATGTCCCCTGCTGTCCCCACATTGTCTCCACGCTGTCCCCATACTGCCCCATGCCATCCCAACACTGTCCCCACGCTGTACCCACACTAATCCACACTGTCCCCATGATGTCCCCACGCTGACCCCACACTGTCCCCACACTATGGCCCGCTGTCCCTACGCTGTCCCCATACTGTCCTTATACTGTGCCCACAGTCCCCACACTGTCCCCTTACTGTACCCATAGTCCACACACTGTCCCCATGCTGTTCCCTCACTGTCCCCATGCTGTCCCCACACTTTCTCCATTATGACCCCATGCTGACCCCCACTATACAGACACTGTCCACATGCTCTCCCCACACTGTCCCCATGCTATCCACTCTCTGTCCCCACACTGTTCCCTTGCTGTCCCCATGCTGCCCTCATACTGTCCTCATGCTGTCCGGACACTGTCCCTATGCTCTCCCCATGCTATACCCACACTATGGCCCTCTGCCTGCATGCTGTCCCTTCACTCTTCCCATGCTGTTCCCATGCTGTCCCCACACTATGGTCCACTGTACCCAAACTGTCCCCATGTTTTCCACACATTCCCCACACTGTCCCCACACTGCTCACTATCCCCACACTGTCCCCATCATGTCCCCATGCTGTGCCATTGCTGTCCCCACACTGTCCCCATGATGTCACCACACTGTCCACATGCTGTCCCCACACTGTCCCAATGCTCTCCCCACACTGTCTCCACACTGTCCCCATGCTGACCCCACACTGACCCCACGCTGTCCCGACACTGTCCACATGCTTTCCCCACACTGTCCCCATGCTGTGCCCTTGCTGTCACCATGCTATACCCCCACTGTCCCCACGCTGTCCACACACCATCCCATGCTCTCCCCACAATGTCCTCACACTATGGTCCTCTGCCCACATGCAGCCCCCTTGCTGTTCCCACACTGTCTCCACACTGTCCCCATGCCTTCCCCACACTGTCCCAGTGCTGCACCACACTGACCCAAAACTGTCCCCATGCTGACCCCACACTGTCCCTACATTGAACCCATGCTGATCCAAAACGGACCTTACACTGTCTCCATGCTGCCCCTACACTGTCCCCACACTATCCCCTCTGTATCCCCACACTGTCCACACACTGTCCCTACACTATGGCCCCACAGTCCACATGCTGTCTGCTCGCTGTCCCCTCACTGTCCCCACACTGACTCCACACTGTCCCACATATCCCCACACTGTCCCCTCACTAATTCCTCAATGTCTACACTGTCCCCACACTGTCTCCACACTGACCCCACACTGTCCCACACTAGGGCCCGCTGTTCCCACACTGTCCCCATGCTGTCCCCTCTGTGTCCCCACATTGACCCCATACTGTCCCCACACTGACCCCACACGGACCCCTCTGTCCCCACACTGTCTGCTCACTGACTACTCACTACACCCTCGCTATCTCCACTGTTTCCCCAAACTGTCCCCTAGCTGTCCCCACACTGTCCCCATACTGCCCTCTCTTGTCCCCATACTGCCTCCACACTGTCCCCTCTGTTTCCCTTCACTGACTGCTCACTGCCCCTTCGCTGTCCCCTTGCTGTCCGCATGCCATCCCCACCAGGACCCCCGCACACTACAGTGGTCCCGGGTGTGGGGGGCAGGCCCTGGCGGGAGGCGGTCCTTCAGACTCCAGGCCATGCTCACTCCCTTGCCCGTCTGCTGCAGATGAAGTGGATCTTCTCCTTGGTGGTGGAGCTGAAGCGCACGATCGTGCCCGACTACAGGAACATGATCGGGCAGGGGACCTAGGGTCAGCCCTCTTGGGCGTGTGTCCAGGGCTGCCCTCGACCCCACACAGGAACGGGGTGCATCCATTCATGCCACTCGGCCTGCTGCCAGGCCTGCTCCTCTGCCCTCCTCCCTCGCCACCTCTGACCTCACAGCCACCCTGGGCCTGCACCTCCACCCTCAGCTTGTGGACACCTGCTGACCCCTCCTCAGCAGCCACCAAGATACTGCTGGGGTCACGTGGACACTGAGGCATCAGGGTGGGATGGCCCTCACCAAGATGGCCCCGGGGTTGGCGTGCATGGTCATCCTGGAGGAGGTGGAGGGCTGGCGATCCTAGTGTCTGTCTGGGCAAGGCCCAGCCTCTGTGCAAACCCCTTCCAGGCCAGGCTCCAGAAGGCAGGACATCCCCAGAGAAGGCACATTGTCTAAGATCCTGAGGAAGCCACGGACCACCATCACCCCACAGAGAAGCTTCCGGCATGCCCCGAATGGTCAGTCAGA